AAGAAATCACAGGTGATTGCAAGATACTGCCTGTGGCTGCCCTGTAAAAGACCAAATGGTTCTAGAGCTTATTACAGTGGGAGAAGCTGGGACCATTTGCACACATACAAAACACACTGATATAAATAAAAAATACCATGTAAAATAACTAGTGGAAAAGTCAACATTTCCTTCTGTGGATGGGAATGTGCTTTGTGGACAGTTATAGCACCTGTGAAATGCTTGGTTTCAGTGCAGTCATAGAAACCAAGTAGTTTAATCCCCTATACCACCAAACCCCAGAATGGAATGTAATCCCTAATTAACAGAAGCTGTAAACATGGAGGGGAATGAACTTCCAATAAATTGTATTGAGAAGTAATTCCAGAAGCTGATTGTCTTTTAGAAGCCTTTGTCACTGTGGCCAGGTTCCTGCACTGAAATGGTTCATTGCAGAGACTGGGAGTGGATTCCAGTCCCTGAGCCCAGCTCTCAGAAGGCAGCGTGTGAGCTGCATGCTCTGCCCCACTGAGAGCAGCACCAGCCCATGCTGGATCTCACCTTTATGGCCTCTTCCTTCCAAAGCTGATGGCAACATTACTGTGGAGTTTGGTGGGAGCAGGAAGGGCTCTTCTCTTGAGTTTATTCTTATTCCCCTGGGTTGCTATCAATTCTTTACAGTAAGTGCAAATTCTCTACTCTGGAGGGAAGGATTCTCCACCTCCCAGGAGTACCAGACTGCTGGTGAACATCAGGGTGCACAAATTGCAAAGAGTTTGGGTTGTGCAATGTGTTGCTGCTGCTCCTGGTTAGCTCAAGGCAAAGAAAATGCTCTACTACCACCAGAACCAATCCAAGTCAATAAAACACATTGGAGCTCAAAGAAATATTAAGAATTTCAAAAAAGTCTTAGGAAAGAAAAAAAAAAGGAAAAGAACACACTATGGTATTGCACAGTATGCATGTAAGACAAAGCACTAAACATGGCAATTAAAATATATTTCTAAATGAGCACGCATTCAAAATAAATCCACTCTCTAAGTTACATAGACGTGACAAGATGCCCTGGCTAAAATTAATCTTAGTATCCTGCCTAAGATGGAAAACATGGTTGGAGTGGTTTGCTTAGTCATGAATGTCATTAATGTCAGCATGTGAGGCTGTCTTCACCTCTAAAACATAATTAAACTGGGACTGCATAACAGTGTGGTCCGACCCTGCTGTCAGTAGAGAAGAATGAAACCCCAGCTGAGAAAGAAAATCCATTTGGTACAATCCTACTGTCACCAAAATTAGATAAAGATACAGTACCACATAAGAGTGAGGTGGAGCTAAATAAAGCAAGAAGTGTGGGGAGAAAAAAAATTACATAGCTCATACAGACACCTGGAAAAGTCCATAACTGAGATGACTGAACCCAAACCTAACCAGTCTTTTGACAATTGACTTGGCAGGATTCATAGCAAA